GACACAGCAACCATCATAAATACGAGTCAGTTGTCTGAAATTTGATCATGTAGTCATGAGAATGCTGCAACTATGATAAGTGTGAAAAGTCATAAGTCACTTTTGTCAGTGCCATTGTAAGCTTGAACAGTCACTAAACAAACTGTTGTAAATTGAGGAATACCTGAAAAGCAGGCCATCCTTTGCAAGAGCCCACAGATACTCCAAAAGCTGTTCCCAACTGTCTGCATATGCAATTATTTATTTTATTTTATTAATTTTCCACTTCTGAACTGCCCATCACCCTCAAAGAGAGACAGCACTTATGCGTACAACACTTCTGCTGGAGCACAAGCACACCATGCAGCAAGAAAACATTTCCAAAGCAGGCATAGGAGCCTTGTAGTTGCTTACACACTTCAACAAGAGGTGTTTCATTTGCATTAACACTTTGGAAAACACCTCTTTCAGTTGTTTTGCAAAGCCGTAATAGCTTCATTCACAGAATTCGGATTTTTTTAGAACTTGTACTTTATAGACATGGTTTCTCATACTTATAATACTGTGATAAAAGCAAAAGTCTTTCAAGGGACTGATCACATGATCCCTTGTATTCCATAGGCATTATCTTGACACAAGAAAATTGTATTAAAATTGATTTCTTTAAAGTCATGAATTGTTAACAAACTAGTAACCAATGTGGATTTATTTGTAATCTTGTAAAAGAAACCAGCACTTCAATATATTATTTTAGCATTAACACGAACAGAGAATTGAAGGAAACTGTCAATACTCATTCAGACCATTACTCAACTAATCCACTTGTCCCAGCATTTTCAACACTGACTATCTGAAGCTTCTGGAACTGCAGAAAGAAGTTTTTCAAACTGTACCTAGAGATGCCAACTATTGAATCTAAAACCTTCTACATTCTAAGCATACTTACTTCTGCTGAATTATTCATGAACAGCAGAGGTAAAGTATATTTTTTTAAAAAAGAACAAGATATACTGATCTATAAGAATGAACACAGATATGTTCCTGAACATTTGGAGCAATTGTTAAAACCCATGAATTACTTCTTAAACTGACATGGAACTTTTGACCTTCTTCGCTCTAACAGAGTAGTACAGTTAATACTCTGAAATCCCAGTCTATTATGGGATATTAGGTCTCATGCCATTGCAATTATATTCAGCCAAACAGGTGAACTAAACATCCAAGTGAAATAAACATCCAGATATACCTATCAGTGTCTTAATCATCCAGTTGAGAGCACAAATTATTCCAAATGAAAAAACAATACCATGTGCCTAAAGTAAACAGAACTTTGTTGCAGCTTTGATATACCATGTGGCTATTATGTGCACAAAACAGATTTGCTGATGAGCTCCAAGACAGTAGACTTTGACATATAGATGTAATGCTTCTAAATAAATGGAGAGTTACACTTATGGGAAAGCAAACTAATATCTCAATACTTTTAATATTAGATGATAACCAATATTAAAGCAGCTATATTTATTTACAAAACTTCCACAATGTTTGTGGGATTTAGATTTATTTAGATTACTTCCAACTATATGCCACTCCGTTTGTGGAAACTAAGTTTTTATCTGGCAATTCATAGAGATTTGTCCCATTAAAGTATCTCAGTGATTTCCTGGGTCCCAATATATACCGTATATTCTTTGTGTTATTATTTACCTATGTACTTATAGTTGCTTTGCAGATTGGGATCAGAGGCATATAAATTTAATAAATAAATAAATAAGTATACTCAGATACAAACAGAAAGAAACATACAGAATGTTTCATTTTGATTCATCCAGTAAAGCAGATCTCTAGGTGGGTTAACATTCTATGCTAGCAAAATGATCAAGGTTTGGATTGTAAGAGTAAAAGCCTATAAATCAATAAGCTCTGGGCAGAGCTTCAGTCACAAAAGATTCCTTCTCTGAATCTTTCATCACATCTCATCCAATTCAGGAATCTCTGGGTAGCAATGGGATGGGGAATGCAAAGGAAACACTGGACATGTAAAGCCTCTTCCAACCTAATCTGCAGATACAATGTTTGCTTTCCATGACAAAGAAATTCAAATAATGTATATTGCACACAATTTCTGATGTCTTTTCTTAAAGTTGTATTAAAACCATGTAGCTTACAATATGTCAAGCAACTGCCATGCACGTTCAGTTTTGGTATTTTTAAGCACTGCAAAAAAAGTTCAAGCATCAGTATAAATAATTTAGATTTATGCCAAAGACTGGCCACAATCAGATTAAAATCCATTTATCTATACTATGCATTCTGCAGCTATAATGCCAACCCTAGAGGATTTCAGTGGATAGCAATTGTTTCATTTTTGTATTAACTTAAATTGCTCCTGGAACAAAACTTGCTGTGCTCAAGTATGGATGTTTTTTAAGTAATTTACTGTCCCTGGTAAGTGTTTTATGGGTCTGGTGCTGACACAGAGAAATACATGGCAGAGTGTCACCATAATACTGCCAAATTCTTAGCCTCACATTCCCTTTGCCATTGTGACATAGCAACTCCAGTTTATGACAAATTGCAACTGAAAAGCTCTCTGTCTTACTGAAGCATAAATGAAAATTAATGTACTTGCAGCACAGTAACAGAGACCTGGTTGATTTTGTAGAGGCAGAAGATGGGTAAAACATCACTATCTGCTCTAACAGAACAATAAGGAGATTAAAACTGAATAAATCCCAACCACCAGGTCCCCAGGAGACTCTAGTCCAGCAGTTCTCAACCTTTTTATACGGCGACCCCTGGTCACACGGATGCGCCGTGCATGCGCGGCGCCGCCCCCTGAGGGAAAAATGGCGGATCGCGTTGTTTGGCGACCCCCGTAAAATGGTCGTTCGACCCCAAATGGGGTCGCGACCCATAGGTTGAGAACCGCTGCTCTAGACGTACTGACATCTAGGAATTGGAAATGCTTTTCATATCTGCATTGCTTTACTTTATTATTGATATTATTATTGACATCATTGATATTATTATACAAAAGTCCACATTACTCTTTGAGGTTATGAATTCTGAATTCCATTTATACACAATTTTGATGAGTATGCCAGTATTAAGCAAAACACAGTCAGAAAACTTCTCCAGCTTCACTTCTTTTTGCACTCTATCCCTATGTTGACTTTCTTCCTTTTCCTTCTCATATATTATGCTGGCCTCTTCCTATGTTCCAAACAGATTAGACTAGTTTCACTTCTCATGTCCTAGCACCATCTGCTGCTGGCCTATTTCCTGCAGAGCAGGCTGTTGGCCAGCAACTTCAATGGTAAGAGAGAAAACTTCTAGATTTAGAAGGGCTTTCCTCCATGAAAGTGCTGCTACAGCAAGACCTTATTGGAGTCTTTTCCCCCTACTTAGAACTCTCCTCTGCTCCTTATTGGAAGAACAAGAGTAAAGAAAAGCATCAAGAGGACATTTGACTAGTGTCAATCCTGATAATGATGAGCACAATTAATCCAAAAGGTATCTGCCACTGTATTTTCTGTTCCAAATAGTTTGCTGCTTCACCTTATGAGATCATATTAGAGTGGGTGGGGAAGAAAGGTGAAAATAATCAATACAAAAAAAAAAAAAATCCCAAAAGTATACAAGAAAATCTCATCAAAACCACCAAGACATATTGTTAAATATCATAACCCAGATCAGAAATTGAAGAAAAACATATGCTTTATAAAGTAGGGATGATGATAAATGGTAAAAATAGTTCATCACATGTAACTGCATTGTCTTTTTTGCTTTAAGAAGTATGAGATTGTGAAAGCTAAAGCAATAAGTAAGGATGGGAACAGACACCAGATATGCAAAAGAGTAATTTTAGGTTTTAAAGTGCTTTGGGGTCAAAAAGTAAGTAATTGTGGGTATGAAATGTGAAACAGAAGTGAGTCTCAGACAGAAATAGAGGCTATGAAGGATGTGAAGCCTCCTTGAACTTCTCTGCAAAGAACAGTGGCTGGAAAAGATGAAAGATGTAGTTAGGATGGTAGGAACTAAAGGAATTGAGTCAATACAGAGCCATCACATATAATTAGCTAGTCACCACTGGAAATGGATCCAACTTCAGGGGAGATAAGGTGAAAATATTTTAAACTTAACTGCGCAGAGTAAATAACAAAAGGCACGAAAGGGTAAAATAAACCATATTAAGTTAATAAGGGATGAAAATCTAAAGCAAATGAAGACTACACTGTGCCTGAGAAATCATTCTACAAAGCTAAGTGGTGTTCTTTTTTGCAAAGACTTGCAATAAAAAATCCTAGTCCAATAGACAGCACAACCAAACCAAGAAATCTTAAGACTAACGCTGAGAACACCACTGAAAAGTGGTGGAAACAAGTCTACATCTGCTTCATCTTTCCACGTTTTAGCTAACTCCACCTCTTCGATCCCCAAGTTTGTAGTGGCCTGAAAGAAAGAAAAAGGTTTGCTTCAGTCCAAGTTTAGCAGCCACCCCAGGCAGCGAAAGGCTTTCCCGTGACAAAAGAAGCCTGGCCTCTACTGCAACAATGGCAATTTCCTCTCCAGTTTGTTCGCACCCGACTGTTTGCCTTTTTTTTTTTGCAAAGGGACCAGTCCGAGGGAGAGTCAGCAGTATAAAATCCTGAATTCCTTTTTGTACTCGGGTCGCGACGAGCCCAGTGACGGACGTCCACCGGTCCCTTTTACGCCGCCGCCAATCAAGTCGGCTGCGCCCGAGTGAGCGCGCCGTTCCCCACTCCCACCTCGCTCGGCACAATGGTGCGTTTAGAGCGCGTCCGGCATCCCGGCCCTCTGCCGCCGGGGATAACGGGATCGCCTAGCTGAGTAAGGAGCTGGGATCCGGGAAACTCTCAGGGACTAGGAAAGGGAAAGCGTCCTTGGCTGCTCCGTCTCTGGGAAGCAAGGACTGGTTAGTTCGTTTGCACTGAAGCTACGCACGCAGCAACGCCGGAAGAAAGGAAACACAAGCAGGCACATCGCCCCGACCTTACCTCCACATTAAAATACTGCTCTGCTCGGCATCCGGTGGCACATAAAATCCAAAGCAAGGCTTGCAAGAAGAGGACCCTGGATTGATGCACGAAATCCCCCCGACTTGCAGTGCTGAAGGCGAGTAAGATCATAGTGGATTATGGGCTTCAATGGAGAAGGAAGAGAGAAAGCTCCTTTCCTCCGGCCGCTGCTTTCTCCCTCCCTCCCCTCCTCTTCCTCCTCCTTCCCCCCTTTCGGATACCCAAACAAAAACAGAACGCGCACACGCGACGTTTTGTTGTGCTAAAAAAAAAAAGAATAGTAATAACAATAACAATAAAACCCAAAACTGGCGAGGTATGGTTGGATGCAGGTTTTCACCCACGAAGGTGGGAATATGGGGGAGGAGAGGAGGAGAAGGGGGACTCGACCCTTTACTTTCAAGCGCAAAGTGGCGGCAGCTTTTTAGTAGGGTCAGCTCTCCTTCATCTTCCTCGCTTGTCCCGTCTGGGCGCACAAGCGGAGGTGCGACTTCTGCGAGACGCCCGGTTCGCCCAGCGGCAGCAGCCGCCGCCGCCGCTGCTCCGGTGTGTGTTCGTGTGTGCGTGTGTGTTGTGTTGTCTTTTTCCTGCTGCTGCTGCTGCTGTTGCTCCTCCTTTTTTCTGCTGCCGCCAAGGCCTTGGATGCTGGGCCGCCACTTCCCAGCGCTTCAGCCTCTCCGCTTCTGGTGCTTTTTCCTTCTCTCCTCCACTCGAGAATGTACATCTGCAGATCTCCGTAACTCCTCCTCTCGAGTCAGCCTCCTCGGAGAAACCTTAAAGGAGACTGCTGCCCTTAAAAGCTCCTCCTGGATCCCAACAGGAAGGAGAGGAGGGGTCGCTGGCGTGGGGATGGCAGAGTCTCCGCTCTAAGCAAGCCCAGCCCAGCCCGGCTCGGCCCAGCCCAGCCCAGCAGGAGGAGAGGAGGAAAGAGGTGGGTTGGCGCGGAAGGTTGGGCACGCTGGAAGGAAGCGGGCTGCAGGTCTGTGTCTCCTAGAACACTCACTTATTGTCCCGATTCGGAGCCAGGGCGAAATAACGGATCCCCTGGGTTTGCACACGCCTTGGACGCCATACCTCCCAGGAATAAATAAACATTAGACCTTCGTTTCCACCGCTGCCTATCTGGTCTGTGAAACCGCCCGCCTTTCTTTCACTCATTTCTGCAGAAAAGAGCTCAGAAAGGCACCAGTGGGATGGGGGGTGGGGTCCGAATAAAAGATACGGTCGAGTTCTCGGCTCCTACAGAATCAGAAGGAAAAAAAGAAGCCACCTTTGAAGCCAGCAAACTTACTTTGGGGCAAACCGGCAGGATCGCTGCCAGGTGAAAAAGTGTTCCCTTCAGGAGAGCTGTTAACCAAAGTCTGTATATTTTTCTGCCACTTTTCATTCAGTTTGATGAAGTCAAATCTGTGTTTGAACTTTCTTCCACAAAAGGTCGTGAGATGGCCAAGAAGTCTTGTGTTTCAAATCATCTCTCCAGTGATACTCAAGACTGACCAGGCTACCATTGAAGGAAGCCATTATTTTCCCAGTGGGTTATTCCCCCTCCCCCAGATTGGGAAATGTGCCCCACCCAGGCTTGAGAGGAAAAAAAAGATGTATTAGAGAAAACATCAAGAGCAATACCATCCTCCATCTATAAAGTTCAGTAACATCACCAGGTGAAATATCAAAGAAATTGTAAAACATTCCAAAAATAAGAGAGGTAGAAGGGGGGGGGGGAATCTGCAAGCACATTTTAGAACAACATTAATTTAAACAGAACATGCTGTAGCAAAGGAAACAGTGACTCAAGCCATCCTCTGGGACTAGGAGAAACAATAAAACAAAGGGTTAAAATGACATTTGAGAGAAAAATATCCCCCTGTGGCCAGGGTATTAAGAGTTTGGAAAATATTTTTTTTCAGGTTCTCTGAAGAGGAGGATGCTTTATGAATGCATGATTTTATTTCTTTAACTTGACAAATGAGCTAGGCAGGAAAAGGTTCATCTCTTTCACCATGATGCTTTTCCCAAATAAATTCTAAGGTGTCTTGTTTCATTTTATTTTCCAAAATGAGGATTTCTCATTTTCTTTCAGGAACAGTAAAACAAAGGTACATCAGAGCGAGAAAGGGTGCAGGCATCCTTTCTCAATTTTAAATTAATATTATTTTTAAAGTGCTTCTTTTTTCTGATCATGTTCCTTCTATACCTTCCATTTTTATACAGTAATGGGAATGCATGTAAGAACACTTACCATGTCTTTGACTAGACATAAAAGTACTGGTATGGTTAACTGTTTCCATCCTACATGCATGTTGGCTGAAAACTGGAGTCCCTAATTATGATGGCTTATATGCTCTCAAAAATGAGGACACACAAAATAATTTTAACCTATGGACTCTTTTAAACCCCACTTTCCTTAGTTTTACTTTTTTTCTCTTCAAAAGTGGTCAAGCAGCTTGTTCTTTTTTAAGACGAGCCATAAAATGTCTACCTAGTATCTTGCTGTACTACCTATCATAAAGTAATTTAAAATGTATACATACATATTAGCTAGGTTCACACAGTACATTAAGCCATGATTTATTTAACTATGAATTGTCCAGTAAGCACTCAAACAGCTTGTCTAACCAACAGTAAACAAAATCACAGTTTATTGCACTCAGCTATTATATTCATTCTGCCAATGAAGTTTTCCTAGATGTTAAATCTAGCCTGACAAAGAGATTTCTCATCTAGCATTCTCCCTGTTATGATAGGTTTGGGTGGCTTTTAAAAATAAATAAGGGGATACTTTGATATATGTAGTCCCTGGCATCTGTTATAGTTCCATGTGTTATGCTACAACCCACATACTGTACTTTGACAGCATATAGAAAGAATGTGTACAGTTCTGAATTTCTGTATCCATAAAGTTCAGTCTTGAGAAACAGATAATGCAGGGCATCGAAAAAATGCAGTTAACCCATTAATTTCTAATATTCGCATAATTCTATGGTTGCCATTTCCTTGTTTCCAATGTATAATTCAGGAAACATCTAAAGACCAATTTATGTTACCTAGTAAATTGTTAATCTTTTTTTTTAAACAGTGAATTCTAAAGTGTAACATTCAACTGACAATTATTTCAAGAGCACTAAATATGGCACTATTTCTCTCAGAATGATTGCCAATTATTGTCTCATTCTCCATTTCTGTTATTTGCATTTATATATGACACACCATCAGAAACCTTTGTAGAATATGTTTCTGGAATCTAGTATGCTTATCCAAGAATGCATGTCCATAACAGTTATACATATAAGGGATTTTTGTAAGCTCTTTGGAAGATATTTAACATAATGCCTTCATCTTTCCTTCTTATCTCAATTTTACAAGACAAATGAGACATGTCTATAAATTGCCAACCATACATTGACTGGAGTTGATTTTGAGCCAGATTTCTGACTTTTAGATTTTGGGTAGCCAAAATCTGGATAGCAGAAAGATTTCAAGGTTTTCTCATCTATTTGCTGCCATCTAGATCTGGATTTTTGCATCACATATTTAGTACTCTTAATTTAAGTAAAATGTGAAATTATTTATATATTTATTGTTTGTTTGTTTGTTGTTTATTGCCACATTTCTGGCAAGACACACTTGGTAAACCAGTCATGACAGTGTATAAACATAGCATTGAACATAAAATCACTGATTAATAAACAGTGACATAAATTGAATATAACTAATAGTAAACCACATAAAATATCACCAGATCAGTAGTCAAATACAAGATACATTACAGAGAACCAATCAGAAATTGATAAAAATGAATTTTCACATTTCATTTGAAAACAGCCAGAGAGAATAAAAATTGCACAATGCAACAGCATTTGTGAAGTGATTTACTTGATGCTACCCATTAGATGACAATAAGCACAAAATAATACAGTAGAAACAGAAGTACATATTTTATTGTGTTTGGAAAATAATTGCTTCTTCGTGTTTTGTATCTATAGGATCTGTTCTTTTAGGCCTAAAGGCTTTACATTTTTGTAATCAAGTTCTCTATTCCTCACTGATATATTTTGTTACTATGGCAATCAAAAACTATTGCCATTCCATGCAGTTCACAAACTAGTCACTTTCACTTATTTCAAAAGTGATAAAATAGAAGTTGGTGATCTGGAAATTGGAGAAGGGAGGGAGGGAGAAGAAAGGAAAGGAAGGTATGAAGGAAAGGAAGGAAGGAGAAATACATATAAACTTTGTACATTATCCTTTCTTGTTTAAATAGCTGAAGACTCTAGTGATATCACTGGTATGCACTGTGATGAATGACCTAAGTTACAGAATTATTAGTTTCTTCCACACTAGAGAGGGATATATGTTTATTATGTTCTTATTCCTTCATTGTTAGACTGTATATTTTGATCCTAGTTACTGCTCTAGTGATCAAAGGTGGATCTATGATAATATGTAGGCTTTTCCAAGACAACATTTTAACCTTAAAGGCAGTATAGAACATCGTATATTAAAATCATGTTGATGCTCACTGGATGCATCTAAGACATGAAGAAGCTTATCTGTTGCTAAGCAAATAAATCCACACACTAGCTATCTCTGTGCATTACATTATTTACCCCATCTTATACTTCCTGCATTTGGTGTGTTGACCAGCAGAAGCCTAAGAAAAACATAGTAGTCAAAAATATAATGGATGATTAGAATTAGATATTGTTAACATTAATCTATTAAAGCTCGCAATATCTGGACAAATATAACACAAGCTATCTTCGTTAGTAACTTTCAAATAAGCATCTGTTTTCCTTTCAGTTTGAAATTTTTTGTTTGGTCCAGTTATGATAGAGATATTATTTCTTAGAAGAATCCTTCCAAGCTATTTGTCAAAGAATTTGATTGTAGGAAATAAGACTATAGAAAGTACATTAAAATTAGCATTGCTGGACATTTTTTTACCATATAACTGCTTAGGGATTTTATAAAGCTATCTCAATGAAAGGCAAAGATCAATCTACTCCAAAGTTGTCACCAAGGGATTAAGGTAGGATTTACAGCACACAATGCAAAGGAAAAGTGCTAATGGAATGTTAGTGAATCAGAGAGAGGCAAGGTCATATGACCTCGGACATTGGAAATTGTAGTAATGGTGGCATAGGTCAAATGACAGGATAGCAGTTGCATGAGAAAAAGGAAAGATGTTATTCCAAAAAAGATAGGTGAGATAACAAAATGAAACAAAACAAGGAAGATGGTCTGGAGTTTTAGCAAATCAGCATAATGCACTTTCATGACTCATGACACCTTGAGGAAAAAAAATGCTGTCATGTTCTAGTCTACAAAATAAAATTTCAGGAATCTGTTAATGCAAATTCAAATCAATAATTGAGAGAAGAGAGTGGTGACCAGAATAATGAGCTGTGTCATGTTTTCTATCATTTTGATTAGCATTCTGGCTATAGTCATTTCTTCCTCACCTATTTAGCTTAATCCAAGTTCTTTGCCAAAATGGATCAACACCGGAATGTAAACATATATTTGATAGGTTACAAGTGAAGAGGAATAGTGAGTTATATTCCTTTACCAGTGAATGTCCAGTGCTACAAACTGCATGTTCACCCATTTATATTTATCTATTTACAGTTAGTCTTCATTTAACTACTGCAATTGGGACCATCAATTCCTGTCAGCCTTCTCAAGTAAACAAGCCAGGGAACATGAGCAGATGAGCTAATTCTACTTTGTTGCAAGACTATATTAACAGAACCTTGCAAGCCTGAAAGAACAAAACCTCGCCATTTCTTTTGTAGCCTGGTAAGTTAGAGAGGTTCCTTTCTTTGTCCATTATGCAGCTGCAGGCTACCCTATGTGCATTTGATCATTCCCTGGGTAGTATCTCTCCCCCTGTCACCCAGGATCATTCCCATAAATCCATGGCTAAGTGACATTCAGTGAAACATCATGTGACCAACTCAGACTTACATTCTCGGTCTTCCTGCAGTTGTTAAGCAAATCACCTGTATTCGTTAAGTATAATATCACATGACTGGAACTTGCAACTTCTGCCAACTTTGTGGAAAGCTGATTGTGAAAGTTGCAAATGATGATCACATGACCACAGGACATTGTGACCATTGTAAATGTATGCTGGTTGCTAAGTGCCCAAATCATGTTCACATGATGGTGGGGACACTGCAACAGCTGTAAGTTTGAGGACT